GGCACTGGGACAGGTTGCCCAGAGATGTTGTGGATGCCCCCTCCCTGGATGTCTTCAAGGGCAGGCTGGATGTGGCGTTGAGCAACCTGGTCTAGGGCAAGGTGTCCCTGCCCATGGCAGGGGGGTTGGAACTAGATGATCTTTAAGGTCCCTTCCAACCCTAACCATTCTATGATTCTATGAAGGGAAAAGGGAAATCTAAAAGGAAAAGGGATAAAAAGTCTTGAAACAGGAAAGGAAGAGAGAAGCCATGCATGCAATAAGAAGCTGAAGCCATGCGTGCAATAAGAAGATATGGAAAGTGAAGGGAAGGCCACATGTCCACGTGCAAATATGACCCCTGACAGGACGACTCTATGGAGCATTGGGTTTTGGTATCACAGGCCATCCTGGTAGCTCACAGCCTGTTCATAGCCTGACTCTGTGTGGTCACTCAGCATTTTCATGGTAATATCTATTTTTAACCATAAATGGTGTTCTGAAGACAAGACAGAGGAGTTCATGAGAAGGCAAATGGAAATAAGCTAGCAAAGATGTAAAAATGAAGTCTGGATACTACAAATAAATCTGATCACCAAGACAACACCTTGGGGGGAGTCCCACAGCAGTCCAGGAGCAGTCCAGTTCAAGTCATCACCCTTAAAATGTTTATTAAAATCTGCCATATCATTGCTGATACATCACTGTAACATGAAAAGATAAACCAGGAGTCAGATTCTGCTTCAAGAATGACAGACTGGAAAATCCAGAGCTGGTCATCAGAAAGTTCAACAAAACTAAGCCCATGCTTGAAGAGATTTATGGAAAGTCACAAAAGCAACCAAAGTGTAACACAGATTCACTTTACCTATTACATGACGCCACGGTCCTGCAGAACAGGGAGTATCTTCAATTCCAAACAAGCACGCTCTTAAACGTGGATTTAGAAATCCTCACACAGTTAAAATCTGCAGTTCATTAGACTTCTCCTTGTCAGAATTCCCACAAGATGCAAGCATTTCTTCTTTGTTACATAGCGGCTGTGCTCAAGCAGCATAGAAATTCTGTGGGATCCCCTTCACACCCAGGCCTGTTATCTGTTAAAATAAAAGAAAGGAAAAAGATAAATCTCCAACTGAGTACAACATTCAAATGTTGTACAGCAAATACCATAGCAACCTACCCCTACTTCAGGAGGAGCCCAAGGAGAGCCATTACATGCAGTTCTTCAGAGCTTACACATTTTCTGTAGCCCTTTCATGTGGTCCTTACCTCTGTATTAACCAAACAGGTCATAGCAACTTTTAATGTGCTTTGCCCATGCAAGACAAATGTGAGTTTGGAAAATACCCATTCCCTTCTAGAACTGGAGAACTGAGGAAGAGAGATTAAAAAAGCAAGGCTCAAAGTTATCTTTTAGTATTTAAATCTCCTGTGGGCTCCTGAACTCCGCTGCTTGAGAAATCCATCAGTTCTCAGCCATGGGAAAGCTGTTGCAAGTACCGTTTTCAACTGGAAGGTCCCAGATCCCAGATTAGATCCCCATCCCTCCTGGAACATGTCTTCATCCTATTGTCAAACTAATAATATAGTTTGATTTATTCCATTTCCCCTCATTCACAACCCTTCCCTTTCATGCTATGGTCAGCTTTCAGAGAATGATAGCAATTGCTGTTTCAGAACTGCATTTTATTTTCCTGCTGTAGTTTTTTCTAATGGACTGAAAAATGAAAAGAGAAACAAGTTTTCAATTCAAGAGCCATGGACAAAGATGTAGATTATTACTCACTCAAAACATAGCACCCACTTTTAATGGACTAAGAAAAAAAACCCAAAAGTTTTGGGATTGGGTTGCAAAGTTTTGCCCTGGTGAATTCAAGCATTTCATTGCTAAGGGAGCAATCTGCATTGTAAATAGATACTCTGGTACCATTAAGAAACTAGAATTAAGGGAGCAAAATTTCAAAAACTGATGAAAGTATAGTAAGATATAGGAGCAAGACCCAATTTTTTACAGTGTATTACAGAATATGTTATAGAGGGCCGACCCAGATCCACCAGCTGCCTTCGGGTCCCAGCTGGATACTGACTTCAGCTAACCAACATATCAACACTATTATGAGAAATTTCTCCACATGTGCCTTCCAAATGCATGAGCAGCCATGTAAAAGCAGCTGTGCCCAGCCAGGGGATGAGCAACATATCTGGACCAGGACATCAGGCGAGTGGGCTGAGCCAGGGCAGCTGGGGAGCACCTTCCTCTGCAAGCACAAGGCCTGGCAGGGCTGACCCGTAGAAGGAAATAAAATCTGCTCACCTTGAATATCTCTCCTGCGTGAGGTTCCTTGGCTAAGGTGGCCTCATCCAGCCCATCGTAGGCAGAAGTCACGTACATTTCCGAGTAGTCTTTTCCACCAAAGCAGCAAGAGGTGATCCTTGGAGTAGGCAGCCTCACAGTTTGGATTCTTTTTCCTCGGGGGGGGAAAAAATTAGTATTGCTTCCTTATGTCCATTTTCTAGGAAGCATGTGCGTGTGAATGTGCTATTAGTGCACACGATGCAGCTGTGGCATTTACTCAGAAGGCATATCCCCTTCAGGCAGGCCGTATCCTAAAGGACGTTTGTGGGGATACAAAATTCTTTCATCTCCAACTATTTCTCAGCCTCTGCCCTATGCCTGCGAGGCTTTGTTTCCTTCTCTCAAAATGAAACAATGAAGTACTTGAAGCCAGGAAGGGCACAGACACCTGGCCCTGGGGTGGCAGTCACTCCATAACAGCAACTCCCAGTTAAACATTTCAACGCTGACTTTTTCTTTTTTAATTGCAATAATATCGTGTTTCTCACAACAGATATGCAGTGCCTTTTTTTTTATTTTTTAAAGTGGCATATTAAAGCAGTGGGTGTGCTGCATCAGCATACCATGGGAACAGGGGTACTCGACATGGGGAGGCAGCACAGGGAGCAGCACTCTCCACATGATCCAGGCCTAGACCAGCGACGCTGATGGCAACCCATGGGGCAGAGACAAGCAATAGACAACACCTTATCTCACCTTCAAACCATCCCTCCTGGCTGCCTTTCCTCGCGCGCCTGTGGCACGTGGGTGACCCTCAGCATGCAGGTGCTGGTGGAGGCCTTACCTGTCTCTGGGTCTACACGAATGACTCTCCCGCCATCGATACAGGCCACCCAGAGCTTCCCTTCCGCATCGATGCACATCCCATCAGGCATTTGCTCCTCCTTTTCCAGATGGTACAAAAGTTTGGGGCAGGCTGCAGGGAGAGTTACGAAGCTGGTGTTACGTGGGCTGGTACCAGTTCTGTAACAGATCCCAGTCTAACATCCTCCATGCTCTTGGAAACAGGTATGCTCATTTTTCTGTGACAGAGACATGCTGCAAAATTTGTATTACACGTGCATTTAGCGGATGTGTCAAAAGCCTAACTTAGAAACAACCCCAAGTAGAGCCATTGCGGTTTGGGATTGTACTGAATTAAGGCTCCTATTATTTTACCAAGGAAGAGAACAAAATGCCTCTGTCCCTCTTGTGAACCCACTAGCTGACCACCATACCACAGCTGCCGCAAGCACAGTAACCTTTCCTAGCCTTTCGTGGCTCATGGCAGCCTGGATGTCTTTTTATGAGCAATACATCACATAAGTAATGACTTGAATTTAAATGTTGGTAATAAACCATCTTTCATGGGTAAAGATCAAGAACTTGACTTATTTTAATGGCCAATCAAGCTACCAGGCTTCTGGACACCAAGTGCTAGAGGTCTAGGCTGCGGCACAGACAGACCAGTGGGCACATTGCACAGACCACGGAGCGGTGCTCATGGGCAGCAGTCTGCCTCCTCTGACCCAGCGCCTTAGGGCCATCACACCACCCAATAAGAGACAGTCACCAGCATGAAGCCAAAGCCAGGAAACTCAAAATCATTATTTTTTTTGTATCTGGGGGAGTGAAAATAGCATTAAATCTTCTTTAGAGATCTTATCTCCTACAACCTGTAGAAATAGATTTTCTCAGCAAAATGAAACCTGAGTAGCTGTAATATATTTTCACCCATGATTACACTAAGTCCACACTGATCAGAGCACAAAGGCAGCTCAGCCATTTAAATTCCCATGGAGTGTAAGGGGTTGATACAGTACAAAAGTATTTCACAGAGTTTTGCAATCAGGTTACATCCATTTTGCTCGCACTTAAATTTCCTTTTTCCAGAAATTATAATAAAAAACGTCTAGAAAATGAATTTAAGTGAAGTTTGCTAAACAACTGAAGGCAATTTTAATATCAGAATCGGGAAGATTCACTCACAATGGTAACTTTTTAAATACGTTTCTGTGATATGCATGCAGAGTCTGTATTTGTATCGAGGGAGCTAGTACAGTCGAAGCATTCCAGTAGGTGGCACTCAAGAATAAATAGCATCCTATCAGTTCATTCTCACTCTGCAGTATACATGGCTTCTTCCCTGCAACTCCCTGAACCCGTCTAAATGTAAACCATCGATCCAGACGAAGGTGAGGTGAAGGACTGTCAAATTTTTGTTCGCCAAATACACCTGGTTTGTAACTGAACCTGAGAAAAGTCACCATCAGCCTGCTGACAAGCTGTAACCAGGAGATAGGAGATCTGTCAGATAAATCACTGCATACTATACGCCCAGGTCTTGCTGCAGAAAGAGTAATCGCACTACTTGTCACCAAATTAGAAAAGCATCTGTACCGATCTTTCCAGTGTGCACATCGTAGCTGAAGGCATGCACGGCGTATGCCAGGCTGTTGATGTGAAAGAAGGTCCTGTGGTCCAGGGACCAATCCAGACCATTGGAGATGTCCACCTGGTCTAACTGTTTTATTACCGAATGGTCAGGGAAGAGGGTATAGAGAGCGCCTTGCCGCCTTGCTCGCACTCCCGGCGACGTCTCTTCAGCCATCGTACCTGAAATGGAAATGGGAGCCCAGGTTAGAAAGTAGAAGCTTGGGCCTTGTGCTTGATCAAAGTACTCCTCTAATTGTTACTAAGGGGTCCTAGGGAGAAAGGGACTAACCAGGTCCCATCAGATTGAGGAGGAGGAGGAAAAGGAGCCAGTCAGGAGGAGCTGCCTCCCGGGGAGGTGATGCTGGGCGACCAAGGACAAGTTGCTGCATTGCTCTGAGGTTTAAGTCAGAGACACCAAAGATCCAAAGGAGCACCACAACACACCAGGAGGTGAGGTTTTACTAATGGCAAAAGCTGAGATGCGGGCAAGCATCACCTGCTCTTTTTGTGGTCGCTCTTTGTAGGCTGCTTTTATCATTTGAACGGGCTGTGACCTTAGGATACAAGTGCTGTAAATCATGGTTATCTCAGAAGCAAGTGGACAACACCGCAGAAGCGAGATCTCTTCTTAATGAATTTATGCCTCAGAAACCTTCCCGCCTGCATGAGCCCTTCATGAGCTTTTCACCTCCTGTGCAGGCAGATGTTTGAAAAACACCATCCACCAAGTAGAAGGGGAGCCTTCCTGACAGGCTGTTGACAAGGGCTGTCCCTGTCTTTATTCAGGTCAGAGGACGCGGGGTCCCTTATCCTCCTCTGTTGGGCGGTAATCGCCCAACAGAGCATTTACAAGACAGCTTATGCTTGCGACGGTGTTTTTGTGGGGAATTCAACAGAGGAATAGAGAACGCGGAAGAAAATGCATTATGTGAAATACACTGTAACGAGTTCCTCTTTGCTCCAGGAGAAATTTATGCCAGGAACTTACCAGCAAAAAATCTCCCCTTTGGATCCACTTTTCCATCATTGAACCTGTTGTTAGGTTTATCCTGCTCGAGCTCGAGGATGGTGGTGACCGCCCGTGTGTCCCAGTCCAGAAAGGCGAACCTGGTCCCCAGGGCGATGACGTAGCCCCCACACTGCCGCAATGCCACCGAGCCGACGCGGGCATCTGCGGGTGAGAGGGAGTGGGAGATGGCGAGTGGCTCCAGGGCCATCAGTCAGCCCTACCCCTCCCCACCTTGCCTGGCGTCTGGGGTTGACTGGGACAGAGAATCATAGAATCACAGAACGATTTGGGTTGGAAGGGACTTTACAGATCATCTGGTTCCAACCCCCCTGCCATGGGCAGGGACACCTTCCACTAGACCAGGTTGCTCAAAGCCTCATCCAGCCTGGCCTTGAGCACTTCCAGGGATGGGGCATCCACAGCTTCTCTGGGACCCCTGTGCCAGTGCCTCACCACCCTCTCTGGGAAGAATTTTTTCCTGATATCCAATCTAAATCTCCCCACTTTCAATTTAAACCCATCCCCCCTTGTCCTGTCACTACAGGCCCTTGTAAAGGAGAAGAGGCCCAGCACACAGCAGTGAGTACAGATCCTTACCCACGGACACGCTCTGCACCTCGTTGGTGAGTGGGCTCCAGCGGCAAACTTTTTGTGAGTTAATGTCTACATAGACGAGTGCATTCTCCCTTTCTTCCCAAACCGGGCACTCTCCCATCCTGGTCTTCTCCTTCACGACAGATTCAATTCTGATGGAAGAGGACATGGTCTGAAGGGAAGAGGGTCATTAATAGATTTAATGAAAAGTTCTTGTTGCTTGAATTTTTCACAGCTATGATGCTTAAAAGCAGAGTTTCTAAGTGGCAAAGCCCTTCAAATCTCACACGACAGAGTAATTTAGGAGGTTCCTGTGACATTTCCATGGCCTTGTGGCTGGAACTGAGCTCGAGGCACCAAGGTTTCTCCTTAGCAAGTCTTTCCTAGGTGGGGGACTTTAAACCAGAGCTGCTGCTGAGGCACCTGCCTCCAGGCAAGGAAGTGCTGGGGACACGGTCCCAAGCTGGGACCATGCTGTCAGCTGGGGTTGGTGATCCCATGGGGACCCCCAGACCATGGGGAAGGACTGGTGGGCAGCAGTATGGATGGGTGAGAAGCCTTTTTTGTGGAAAAACAAGGCTCTGCCTTATAAACGCAGAGGCATTGACTCCCTCAGTAGGAAGATCATAGAATCACTAGGTTGAAAAAGCCCTTAGAGATCATCCAGTCCAACCGTATCTGTCCACCACTAAACCATATCTCTCAGCCCCTCATCCACCCGCCTGTTAAACACATCCAGGGATGGTGACTCCACCACCTCCCTGGGCAGCCTGTTCCAGTGCGTGATAACCCTTTCGGTGAAGAACTTCTTCCTTACGTCCAATCTAAACCTCCCCTGGCGCAGCTTGAGTCCATCCCCCCTCGTCCGATCATCTGTCATTAGGGAGAAGAGACCAACACCCACTTCTCCACAACCTCCTTTCAGGTAGTTGTAGGCAGTGATCAGGTCTCCTCTCAGCCTCCTCTTCTCAAGGCTAAACAAGCCCAGTTCCCTCAGTCGCTCCTCATAAGACATATTCTCCAGACCCTTCACCAGTTTTGTGGCCCTTCTCTGGACACGCTCAAGGACCTCAATGTCTTTCTTGTAGTGAGGGGCCCAAAACTGAACACAGTACTCGAGGTGCGGCCTCACCAGTGCCGAGTACAGGGGGAGAATCACATCCCTGGACCTGCTGGCCACGCAGTTTTTGATACAAGCCAAGATGCGTACGTCCCCCTTACACCAACTGCAGTTTGCCAGCAAGGCCACTGCAGACCAAGCGCCTGTTTCCACAGAGTCAGTGTGAATATGCAAACACCCAGGAAGGCTCCTGCCTTTGAAATCCTGCTGCTTTGTGTTCCCTCCAAGCGTTTCATCTCCATCAGCCCCCTCACCACCCCAGCCAGGGCTCCAACCCCTGCCGCAGACTTCAGATTTCACCCTGTGCCGGGCTGCGGGGTGTAATTACCCCAGCTTCAGGGGCCAAGTCGCCTATGAAGCTCCCACCCCGAGCGCCTGCTCCTGCCATAGGGTGTTAATGCTCCGGCTGCTCCCTCCATCCCGGTTGCAGCAGGGTGCCTGCAAGGACACCAGCCACTCAGCCACCACCCTGTCCCAGGGTGCCCAACCTTTTGCGTTGAGCCCCTCAATGCCCTCCAAAACGGGCAGCTCAGCCCCTGGGCCTGCCCTGCCCCTGCTGGGGTGTGGGCTGTGAGCAACAGGCTCCACAGTTCAGCTCTTACAACAGAAAGGGGCCTGCTCGCTGCCTCCGTCACCGCTAATGGAGCTGCCGCCGCCGCGACGCCCGCCGCCAGCCTCAGCACCTTTTTTCCACAGATGGGATATTTCTTGGGAGGCAGCCAGCCCCTGACATAACACTATTCCTACAGATTACTGTCTTCGAGCGGGCATTGTTTCCTAGTAGGTGAGCTGGTGATAAGCTCTACAGATAATTAATTAGCACTAATGCGCTTCAAAGTATGTGGGACGAGCCAGTAATCACCCCAAGTAGAAACTCCAGGGCTGGGGATCCGGGATCTTCCCCACTTCCCGGCTGTAGGCTTGTTGCATGGCAAGGAGTCATGCAGCAAAAGTAAGGTTCAGAGGACCCATTTTATCAAATATATCCTTCTCCCTTCCAAAAACAATGGCTGCGAGAGGCCGGGCAGCGGCTTGCTTCAGCATAGAAAGGCGCAGGCCAACAGCGTCAGTCGAAAGCATAAATGAGGATACGTAACGCAGCGAGATGCCAGCGAAACCTCCTAAAACCTGTTAAGCCATGCTCAAGCCAGAGGAGTGAGTTCCTTTTGGGTTCAAGTCTTGTGTCATGTGGCTGCCGTACCTGGGACCT